TCACCTGCGGCAAAATCTTGCCAACCCTGGTATGATTAATAAAAATCAGAGGAATTTTTTGGCTTGATTTCAAAAAAGCAGAAATTGAGTATCTATTAAGATTTTATTTTTGAGTATTTCTCCATATCTGAAGACCTTCAATCCAAAATATTACTTTTAGTAACTTTAGTAAACATTTATCATTTAATTTATTAATACACAAATTACTTATTAATAACAATTTGTCAATTATACTTTGAGTATTGTAATTTGCCATAGTCTCCATTTGTCTGGAGTGTCTGGAGACTTTATAAGCGAAATTAAAAAAAATTTGCTCACAATTATAAAGTTTTTCTTAACAAAAAATACATTTCAGTAAATACTATTTTTTATCTTTTTATTTAATAATAGTTAAAAAAAAATTACAATCGTAAGGTAAAGAATTTTTTATAAAGTTTCAAATTAATTTCATTTGGCAAGATCCAACTTTAGTGGGAAATCTGTCGAATAGGCCCAGAAGCATATACAAGCGTTTAGCGAGCTTTTTTTTCATTTGCTGTTAGTTAAACATGCCTATCTCATGATGTCTTTAACTTTACTAAGAATGGTATAAAGATGGTTATTTTGTATTCTTAATTTTCATAGCCGTTCTGTTACTTTGCCAGAATGCAATTTCTTTTTTCAATTTAGTAATTAAATAGTATTATTTTTCTGTACATGCTGCATTATTGACAAAATGAAAGCTTATTTACTTACACCAACATTCTCGCAGCTGTTTTGATAGTCAGGAAGGGTTTAACAATTAAGTTCTCTGCCCAGGTGTGCCTATGTGTGAAGACGGTACTGAGCTATTGTCATATGCGATTAATAAATTTTTCTAGTTTATTTTAGATATATTTACCTATCATAAACTAACAATTTTAACTGACACTGGGGTGTTGCAAGCTCATATCTTCAGGAGGGGGGTCCCACTTTGCAGAATAAAGTTCATAATTTAACCGAATCTTAAACAATTTTTTTTCAATGTATACAACAAAGAAGGATTACTCTAGAGCAGTAATAAATACAATAGCTGCCAAATTTTCCAATACCCCTCCCAACAGTGTTGTACATATTTAAAGTGGCAGCAAGATTTATTCTTCAATTTTTTTTTCCCTTTAATAAATTTGCTTTGAAATGATCACAACCATATTTATGTCTATTTTAAAAGTTAATGATGCAGACTTAGATGGTGCTGAAATTTCTGCTTGCAGCTATAGTTGCAATTGTCATTTCACAGAGATAACTTCTTAAAGTGAATGTGAAAGGCAGATAAGAAATAAATATTTTTCGGATGGTGGAATTCCATACCTACCCACAAAAAAAGATTTTTTTTAAAATCTAAACTACAATAAAACGAATAATTTATCATGCTCATCCATTTATTATTTTAAAAAATTAACAGTGATATTAATTTAGCTAATGTACATTCGTGTATTTTGAACATATAATCATACATTTGTATAAAAACAGACCACAAGGTTCCCACTCAAATTCAGAAGAAACTTCCTTACTTTTCCAGGTATATCAGATAAATTTTAATGATGATAATCCTTATCATATTTTACCTGTACCATTCTATATTTCAACAGAAAGCTAGACATAGTTTTTAAATATGTAACATTAAATGCGGCCGCAAAATCTAGGTCACTAAGACTTTTCATTAATGATGTTAGCTACTATCTTATAATTCATTAAATGCGCATTATGAAAGATAACTGTATTTTTTTCAATAGTTTTCACTTTATTTCTTTAACCCATTAAACGCCGCCATATGAACCGTTGATAAAAAATTGGAATTTTGGTATGTTTTAAGGAGTAATAGACATTTCTAATCATATTAGCTTTAAATTTTTAAAAGAAATTTAATTTTTTAAAAGATATAATAGGGTCCCAAAATGGGAGACTTGGCGTTTAATGGGACTAACATAGCTCACTTACACACTACGCTACAAGTTAAACGTTTAGTTTCATTACTTGTATATATTTTGATAAAAATCGCCAAATCTATTTTAATGGGATCAATAAAGTTAAATTTGAAATAAACATGCTTGAACGAAGAAGCAAAATAGTTCATAAATATTTTTACCAGTTTTATTATTATTCTTCAAATTTGCCTGTTCTACATTTTTGTATGAAACAAAATTGTACACTTTTTGTGAAGCATTACTTTACATTTTTCACAACACAAAGGAGTGTTCTTTTTGCACAACTTATATTTTGACTGCTTACCAGCCTGTGTAATTAAGTGATTAACTCCATCAAATCGAATGTTGGTATTTACTTGCCCATGTGGTCCAAGTCCATAAGGCAAAGTCTCCGGTCCGTCCCATGACTACATCGCAAAGAAATGTTAATTTTGACATGTGTACATTAACCTCACGATGAACCCTCCATGCTGCTACCTCAGCCATGTTAAGAACGTTGGTAAAAATGGGCCACCACCACTTTTTACAATTTATTTTTGGTCTGTAAGAACTGATATCGGTCAAGAATATCAACACCACCCATGTTCTGATTATATGAGGCAACTATTCCAGGTTGAGGTAAATTAGTTTTCTACCTGGACTTTTGGCACCAACGTTTTACACGTCCTATTGGTTCAATTCCCTCAAAATTTTATGCCAGGAATACAATTTTATTGTCTTTCCATTTTACAACGCTAACACTCTTTGTTGTAACGCAGACATAATACTACAAGCACGTAAAACTACATTTATGACCTGAGAATTTATCAGTATCTAATGTTTCCATATAATCAATGCTTGCTGCACAGTTAAAAACCTGCGAATCACTTTTAAAAAGTTCCTTAGAAAAAAAGAACCACACTCACCGAACGATTAGATCTAAATACTGAGAATTTTATTTTTTATCTTACAGTTTGAATCATTCTATGTGACAGAATGGATAATGGGAGGGGTCACAATGAGCAATTCAACACCTGCACTGATAATATTTGACCTTCAACAACAAAAGAGAGGGTACTAAGTATGACGAAAAAGAATCCATAAATATTTGCTTTTATGTAAATGTGTTGAGGATGGTGTTAGCCACAGAATGCCAAGTCTCCCATTTTGGGACCTCTTTAAATAAACAACTGTAAAATCGGTCTAAATCAATTTTTTAAAATTTTGATGGCGACTATATGATGACAGAACAATTGTTTTGTATATACAATATTTTTAAATTTTTCGACTTGAAAAATTATTTTTTTTTCTGAAATTATTTTCATTTGAAGTAAAAAAAGCGATTTTGATTACATTTCAGCAATTTCTAAAAAAACAATTTACATTTCGAACCTTCTGTGAAAATTTCTAATAAAACTAAAAACATTCAACAGTCGATAAAAAAATTGCATGTGAATTACTCAGCGAGAAAGAAATTCTTGAACAAAGGTTCCCAAAATGGGAGACTTGGCGCTTAATGGGTTAACCCATTCTAATTAAAAAACACATTCTAAATTAAAAAACACAAGTGATTCCACTACTTTCTCTAAAAATAAAAAAGGTTCTTACCTTAAAAGACGAACAAGGAGCAACACACAACTGTTTTATATGAGCATCCACAACGTGGTAACTCAGTAGAGTAGAGCTTAGATCCCGCGAAGATACTTTGTCACAAAATTTTCGCGCATGCGCAAAGCATTCGATTATTTTTCACAAGACATTCGCGCATGCGCAAAGCATTCCTAATGTCAAGCACAAGTTATTGTAAGTAAGCTACAAGCTTCCTAATGTCAAGCATCAGCAAAAAGATATTCTATGTAAGCTACAAGCTTGTGAAACTGCATTGAAAAATGTCGTGCTCCACACCAACTTATCTTATTACTTTGGCTACCTTGGTTTGCCAACGTGCTTTATTTTACAAGTGATTATTTAATCACCCATAAATTATTTTCAACTTATTTTTATTTAAAAAAAAGTTCTTTTCAGAACTAAACTTTTTACTTTTCGTTCAAATTGTTTTGAGTCAGTTTATTTTCTACTTTCGAAATGGATAACTTTACNTTTTAACTTACAAGCCATTTAATGAGCTTAGTGAGTCATACCCAGAACTGACAAATGATGACTTTTTACTGGGATTTGTGACTGAAGCACAGAAAGAATTTCTTTTGAAATATGGTGGTGATGTTATTTGTATGAATGGCACTCATGGAACCAATGCACAAGGTCTTGAACTTGTAACAGTCCTTGTTTTAGATGACTTGAGACAAGGATTTCCTTGTGCTTTTTTATTTACAAAGCGAGTTGATAAGCAATTTATTAAAATTTTTCTTAATGAAATAAAACAAAGGTTAGGAGAGCCACTTTCTTGCAATGTTTTCATGTCTGATATGGCAGAATGTTTCTTCAATGGATGGTGCGAGTCTATGTTGCCACCAGTTCACAGGTTGTACTGCACTTGGCATGTAGACCGGGCATGGAGAAAGAACCTTAAAAAAATCAATGGTATGGAAAAGCAGGTGGAAGTATATAAAATGTTAAGAACTCTTCTTGAAGAAAGAGATGTAATCGCATTTGAGGAAATGCTTAGTGCTGCATTAAATAAGCTCTCTTCTGATATCGACACCAAAGAGTTCCACGATTACTTTGAACGAGAGTATGTAAAAGTGAAGAATTCGTGGGCGTTCTGTTATCGCCTGAGTGCAGGAGTGAACACTAACATGCATATCGAGCGAATGCATAAGAGCATTAAGTATATGTATTTAAATGGTAAATATAACAAGAGACTGGACAAGGCTATACAAGCTCTAATGAAGTTTTTGCGGGACAAGCTTGTTGATCGCTTGATTGTTATACATAAAGGCAAACAATCATCTAAATTGAAAGATATTGCTAGTAGGCATGAGACGAGTTTGTCTTTGTCTTTGGATGACTGCACAAGAAGTTCTGATGAAGACTGTTTTTTGATCAAGTCTGCTTCATCATCAGAAGTGTATGTTGTGCAAGTAAACAAAGAAGATTGCCAATGTAGATTAACTTGCGTTGGTTGCAATAAATGTCTACATGCATATTCTTGCACTTGCATAGACTATTCAATTAAATGGAATATGTGCAAACACATTCATCTTGTTTGCCGTTTCAATGAAAATGGTGTGTCCAAAATTGATCAGCAGCTGAATTCGACAGAACCTAACCTCGAGATAGATTTCTCAAAAGCCGACGATGAGAGTGAATGTGCTACAATTTTATCTTCTTTTAATAAATCAGATAAATCTGTGGGTTTTTCTCTTGATGAAGAAAAGCATAAGGTTAAAATTGAACTTAATCATTTAATTGATAGCATCACAAGTAGGGAACAATTAGATGTCTTTAAAAAGATGCTAATCTCAGCTAAGCCAACCATTAAAGCTCTTGAACATGCAGATGTTTCCAGCTGCTCCTTCCCAACTTTGTGTGCCACTACATCTTCTAATAAAAATATTGTGCCTCAAGCATCTTATACCTCTTCAAAGAAATCCCATTCAAAATCAAAACCTTCCATTTCAAAGCCTACTCCTGAAGAAGCTCAGAAAATAGCTATTTCTCTTCTTCACTCTAATGACAAAGGGGATATTTAATTCAATAGGAATACTGTTTTGGAGCACCTGTTCGAAGTCTTATCCCCCAGAGATCCTTAGGCACTTTCGTTTATATGTAAGTAAGATTCTCTCCAGCTGCAGCGTATGTCGAGGTTGACTTGGACATTTTCAAAAATTTGTGTTT